AAAAAAAAATGTAAAAATTCATCCTCACCAGTTCAAAATATCCCTTTTTTTATCTCTGTATTTTGAATAGTACAAAAACAAAGCAATATACCTGTGTATATGCGTGTGTTTAATAGAATGCCACAAAACCAGCTTCGTGTTTCCTTACAGCCTCCAGATGACACTTTTTTTAAGGGGTAGAAACATTGCTAATTTGCTGGACTTTTGTGACTAGATATTGACCAAAAAACTAGAAATTGCTTATCACACTCTGATGGACTTGGTCACACTCTGAGCTCTCCTTGCCAAGGAATAGAAGAGTCTGACTACCTGGGAATATCATATTTTTCATATGGTTTTGTCTGGCTTTGCTTCAACTTTTCTGTTCTTCCATGAACAGTTGCCATTCAGCGAAGCAAATTTCTCTGGATAGCCAAGATTTATTTTCCTAGTAGAAAATAAATTATTTCTTTGGTCACTCAAATATATATTATTTAATGTCATTAAGGAGCAAAGGTGGGATTTCTGAAAAACTGGATCACTTTGGGGACTTCCAGCTTTGGCATTGTCCCTTAGATCCTCTTCCTTCTGAGTGGTTTGGGTTTTTTTTTTTGTTTTGGGTAACTTGCGCTTGCGAAGTAGGTGGCGGAACCACTGAGCTAAATCCCTGGTGTCTTCTGAGTGGTTTTAAACTACAAAGTTTGAGGCAGCTAGTCTCTAATGAGAAAAATATTATACACCATGTGAGGTGCAGCTGAGTGCCGAGGGTCACTACTTAGCCTCTCCAGCCTTTCAAAATGAGGAAAGTGGAAATCTGGTCTATTTACCTTCTCTTATTTTATATAAATGTTTGTAGCTGATCTCGAGATTTTTGACTGTACCATACAAAGCTCTAAATATAAAATTCAAGCTCTTCAGAGTTCTGTTCATCCTAACCAGGCTGGGTGCTGAGTCAGTTAAGCTGATTTTGAAAGAAAACGCCCTACATGAACTGATTCATAGTTTTTCCTTATATCAATTGTCAAGTAAAAAAAAAATTTTTTTTGTCACATTTTTCTGTCCAGTCTTTGTATTGAAATTAGTTTCTAATGTTATGGTTTAGACCTAAAATGTCCCCTAAAACTCTCATATGTTATGTATCTGTCTCTGACTCTTCCTGCTCTGCTTCTTGGCTACCATGGGGAGCAGCCTCCTTCTACCAGGCCCTTCTGCCTCAGAGCCAGCTGACCATGGACTGAACCCTCAAAACCTGTCAACCAAATAAACCTCTCCTCTTTAAGATGCAAGTGTCAGGTATTTTGTTCTAGTGATGGAAAAGTAATACCCTAACCTGTAAAGACTTGTTGAGATAACATTCTAGAATCCCCAATATGTATTGTAGTTGTTATGGTAATAGTAGAACCCCAGTTTCTTTACAAATATTTTTCAACTTTTCCTACCCAGGCAAAAAGATAGCAAAGGGAGAGAGATCCCAGAGCTCTAGTTGTGGGTATGAGGTTCCGATTTTCTAAATTACTTGGGGTTCTAACTGTGGGTTCTACCTTGTCTAGCAGCCAGTCCACGTCTTTTCTGAAGTCAGGTAGACAAAGAGTAAAGGACGGCCTTGCAAGGCTCAGCAGAAGATCGACAAAGGTCTGGGTTAGATGGAGGACACTTCTAAAGTATGCTATTGCCACACGCCCTTTTCAACCCACTCTGATCAGACACTTGTAGAAGGCCATAAGAAAGAACAAATGTATGTGGAGGAAGAAAGTTGTCAAGCTGAGGGACAGAGGTGTTATTATCTGAAGGGCCAGCAGCCAACTGTATTAACAGTAAGGCTTTGTGCCATTGACAGAGTTCGGGAGAAGGACCCCACATTACATTGGGGCTTGGGACCTGCCCTGCCTCTGTCTGGCCAGCCAGAGGGAACGGGGTCAGCATTAGCTGCCTTCGTCTGTGCAGTCACAAAGGTGAAGGTGATACTGGGGAGTATATTCCCTCCTGGGAGGCCTTGGCCTCATGGACCCGCAACCGTGGCAGGTTTTGCTAAATAACACCTTTGTCTGGGACAGGGTTATGCGTCTTCTCCTCCTCAGTGCCCTCATGACAAGTCTAGGTGGCTTCAGATCCAGAAGCAAGGAGATGGATGTGGCCCATCCTTTGGTGCAGCTGTGAAGTAGGGCCGTGCACACTGCCTGCCTGTAAGTTCTGGCCCAGGGTTCCCTCACTCCCTCATCACAGTTGTCTCCAAAGACCTTTTTAAATGTATTTTTAATTTTTGCATGTTAAAGCCAAGTGCATGTAGTAAGGAGGAAGCGGCTGTAGATTTTGATTTGGGCTATAAAGATGAATTGTCTGTCACGGTATCTTTTTGAAGATACTGTTGCAAACACATTTTTCCTTTTTCAGTGTATTATGACCAATAGCTATTTTTTTTTCCTAATGGAAACCTCAGCACACATTTTCCAAGAAAAGATCCTGGTTTCTCTTCCTAGATGTGGTGAGCTAATGGTGAGGCTAATTAGTATCATTTTTAAAAAGATTCTTCTGCATGATGGAGTATTTGCTTGGATTTAGAGATTGACTACTTTTTTCTTGCTTTCAGTTATGTTAAAGAAATCGTAGTGCTGGCGTGGTGGCACACGCCTGTAATCCCAGCACTTGGGAGGCTGAGGCAGGAGGATCGCTGTGAGTTCGAGACAAACCTGGGCTACACAGTGAGTTCCAGGGCAGTCTCAACTACAGAGTGAGACCCTGTCCCAAAAAAACAAAACAAAGCAAAACAAAACAAACAAACAAAAAAATCGTAGGAATTTTACCTATTGGCAGAAGTAATCTAGTAAATCTTTTTTGTGAAACAAATTACTTTGTTAGAACTTTGTTACTATAAATTAGAAGTCATCTTTAAGACCAAAAGAAGAAAAAGACCCTTTAATTAAGTAATGCTTTGGCTCCCTGTGCTGCTTTCCTGGTAGAGGCTCTGGTATTTGGTTCTTACCTGTGTAGTAATTCCAGAAGTCGAGGGAAAGCCTGGCTTTCAATGTCTGGTCTGGTCTCTGACAGTGTCAAGGAATTGCCCTCACAAAGGAGCGGTCCCCTCGCAATAAAAAGGACTTCTTTCCTTCACTCTCCCAGCCCTTTAGTGGAAAGATCTTTGGCAGCTACTTTCCATGTTTGTTTTTCCCAACTCAAAACCTTACTCCCTTAACTCTGGCCTCCTTGCTGGCATTTTGCCCACCACTGTCTTTTTCCGAAGCTCCCACTCCTTTGGCTTTTCCAGCAGAGGCCTCTACATGAAGAAAAGGAAGAAAGACATCCCAGAAAACATAGTCTTTACAAAGCATAAAAATTGTTTTTATTATGGTAATGTAATAACTCTTGTATGTGGTCCTAACAATAGATGGGGATGGAGTCCAACACAGAGGAGTCAAGTCAGAGAAGTTGAAGTGGAGTTGAACTATTATTAAGGACAGGAAGTGCCAGACCAGTCTTTTGATTCTTGTGCAAAGTGGAAATACTATGAGCTGCTATGGATTCACAGGGACAAATACATTCCCCTGGGCCAGTGGAGGTGAGGGTAGGGAACACTACGGGTCATGGTGTAGAGGTGGAAGGGCTACATCCAGCACTGCCAGGCACAAATAGCACAAAGTTGGACATCAAACAGCCATATGAAGGGCCACAGTGTAGTTTACAGGCCAGATTTCGAACCGTACAGAAGGTGAGTGTGCATGTTGGGTCTGCTATCCCATGGCATCCTATCCTTTAGCTAAAATCCCAGGAAAATGAAGTAATACTTGCCCTTATTTACAGACTTGTGGAAAGCTTTTGTAAGAGCCTTGGAATGAAAGGCTGACACGAAAATTCATGTTGACCTCCGTAGATCTAGATCTAGCCCCCACATGTCTCCTGCTGTAGGTAATTGTGTGGTCTTGCTTTTTGGTTTTGTCAAAAAATCAACTTTCCGGTTTCAAGAAAGTGTACTTATTGTTGAAATGGGGGATTTTCATTTACTGGTAAATTAAGTCTTTTTCAGTGTTGATGTAGTGAAGGAGAAGGTTGATCACAGAACTCAAGGAGGTGGGAAGATAGGTCATCCTTTGTTCAGAAGCCAGAGCACTACCTCATGGTGTCCACTGGCCAGCCAATTGGCCTTCTTTCCTTTCTTATCTCAGTTTACCTGAGCAGGGAAGGAAAGCTGAGGCAGACCTAATTTTCCAGCTCCTGGTTCTATGCCCTTCTCTGTGGCTGAGTTGACTTTAGCTTGGTTTCCCCTCTGAGATCATCGAGTACTTATCCTTCCCTTATAAAATCTCCTTTCTAAAGAGCTGACAGCCACTAGGTCTTTTCATCTTTCCTGAGATCCGAGGTTTATCCGCTCAAATCTACTCAAAGACACCCCATCCGCACATTGTGTTCATTTGTTCATCCATGAAAGGGAAGAGAGAGGACAGTTGTAGATGCAATGGGCATGTCACAGCTTCCTGGGGGACACACTGGGAAAACTGGCCAAAAGCCTGAGTTCCTTGCCAGCCCTTGGGGATTGGACATGAGTGACCGAGAGCCCTGAATAGAAGTCTGTGGCATCATGGGTATGCTATGCAAAGATTTATGTGAGGCAGGCCCATCCTGGCTGACCCTAACTTGCCCTCACAAACAGAGATCCCTCGTTTCCAGTGACTATGCCAAAAAAAAATGTGGATTCCAGATGGGCCAGCTCATGCCATTGTCGGCATAGGAAGGCCTTTGAAGCTCCAAAGTGGGTCACCTCCACTTTCCTCCCTCACTTGCCCCTGTTCCCATGAGTGGCTGGCACAGAAAGGACCGTCAGTGGAACTTGGCTGGCAGCACTGCAGGAGCTGGAATCAGGAGAGGACCCAGGAGAGAGGATGGGGCCCAGGGGATGAAATGGAGTCCAGATCCGCACTGGCACGTCCAAGGCGAGTCGGTTTCAGCTCCTCACCGTCGTGTCACCGTGGTCTCCCTTCTACAAAAGTCCCAACTGATGGACTCTTTGCTAATCCTTCCTGGTCTGCATAAGAAAACACTTCTCAGTACACAAAAACTGGGAACCTACCTGGAGAATGTACCAGAACCCATAAGGAAAAGGGACAGCAGGTGCCCTTTCTCTATCTACCATGGAGGGACTGGGGCAAGAGGGGGATCTCGGAATGTGGCTAACGAAAATGCTAAATGCCCAACACTAGAGAAAGACGCTGAAGAAATGAGCTGCCGGGCATGGCTGGGCACGCTGAGGCAGAAGATCACCTCGAGCTCAAGGCCACCCTGAGCTACATAGCAAGGAAAAAGCATCTTGAGAGCTCTTTCCATTCATCCTTTCTCCTGGTGACAGAGGGTGTTTTTGCCCTTTTCTCCCTCTCTGTGTGAGGAACCCCAACACTTCTGGGTAGCTAATCATGCCCTGGGGTGTGGCTGAGGACAGGAGTTCTGGATAGGTGGGGTACACAGAACAAGAGTTGGCAGCGTCAGCCAGGGGTGGAGACCCTGGTGACTGGAATCTGATAGCTAGGAACAAGAGCAATTACGTAACTGTGTTTACTACGGCTCAGGTGGCTGAGGAGGCTGAGGCAGCCTCTGACTGTAGGCGGGGCCCGAGGTGGTCGAGTGGCACACTTGCAAGGAGAGAGCTCCCTTCAGGATGGGACAGTGGGCAGGGGGCAGTGCACAGGCATGGAAGGGATCTGCTCCAGGCTGACCAGGACTGTGCGGTCTGCCCAGCCTTGCCCCTGAAGCCAAGTGGAAGCCCGCCTGGGAGCTCAGAGGAGGAGCTGGGGAATCAGACACCTGGGTCTCGGCCCAATCTCTGGCCCTGGCTTCCCCTGCCTCCCGCCCCCTTAATCTGCTTTTCAAAAAGGAGAAATTCTCCCTAAATAAGGGCAGACAAGGAGGAATGAGTCAAGTTTCCCTACGTTTCCCCAACCCTGTGGTCCTAGCCATCTTCTAGCCTGCCTTCCACAAGGTCAGCTGACCACAGAACACGG